ATTGACGTCTTCATTAATGAGGTCATTTGAAAATTGAAATAGAGGTCTGATAGTATCTTGTCATATACTAATGATTCTAAAAAGATAAGAGACAGCGATTGTCCAATCAAATCTGTTTGTCTTGTTCAACAAATTGAAAGAATGTTAACAAACTCACACAAACAGCTGATTGCAGTAATCCTGTGTCAGTCCACGAAAGGTAGAGACAAACTTGAGGAAACAGTTTTAAAGAAGATATCGTTGTATAGAGGTAAGAACTTCACTTATTAATTTGTATTCGTGAATGTAAAAGTGTCGAGATTTGGAAAGACAAAATTAAGATGTTGTTATTGGATTGCAGTATCACTTTTTTGAAATTTTTGCGTTGAATCAGGAAAATGAAATCCGAAAACATTTGCACGTATATGAACGTATGTTACCGTACTTACCCTCTTATAAGAACCCATTCTTTTCAATTAGCCTAAAAGAATTCATGTTAATGCTGCTTAGTGAAATTTTAGGCTGCGCAGGTTCTTAAATATAGGTTTTTATTTATCCCTTATGTTTTCAAACATTATTTATAGCAAATTTAGAAGTGTATACATTTTCAAGTTCACTGCAGTTTGAGTTATGTTTTTTTTTTACATGAAGATTTTTTTAGATTAATTTCTATAAGAACCTATCTATGAGAACTTGTTTCAAATTTTAGGCTAAATAGGTTCTTATGTAAATGGGGTCTAAATTGATATTTTTAGGCTAACAGGCTCTTAAACTGCAGGTTTTTATAAGCCGGTAAGCAATGTATATTCTGTTTAAAACGTTTCTGTATTGTAACGGACGGAATACCCCACGTACATACCGTACATTAGGTAATATATACAATATGAGCGGGCGATCTGTATGTAATATACAACTCTCTTCATGGGCTATGATTTCTATTGTGTTTTGCCTTAATAATTTGCCTGTTTGTGCCCTAATCGCCTATTCCTGCCCTGTATACATTGGTGCTCAATATATTCATTCTCTAGTCTTAAATGTTGAGCGTTTGGATTTTTGATCATTTTTCTGTGATTGCATTGATATATCATTTAAAATGCCTGCGTTTCAACCAAAATATGAAAAAAAAAAAAATCGCGTTATGCAGGCATTCTTCGTTTTCAAGTTACGTCACAGCGGCCATCTTGGAGGAACTTTAAGAAACGATTTCTCATTAGTATCTATTGTTCATTCCTATCATTTAAAATGCCTGCGTTTCAACCAAAATATGAAAAAAAAATCGCGTTATGCAGGCATTCTTCGTTTTCAAGTTACGTAACAGCGGCCATCTTGGAGGAACTTTAAGAAACGATTTCTCATTAGTATCTATTGTTCATTCCTCCAACATGGCCGCCGGTCTTTTATCTTTTGAATTATATGTGAATTCTCTTAAAAACGAGCAATATGGCGCTCGAAACAACCAGACAGCATTAACACAAAACCCTTTTTTGGTGATACAGGAGCAGAACTCTGGCCACACAACGTTCCCTGTATGCTTAGTCGAGTTGGATCATGATATTTTTTCAAGTCCCTATCTGGCACTTCTCTGTCAAAATAACCTGGCAAATTAAACAAAGAAACAATTAGTGCAAAATCAAATACATGGATCTGAAACAATCAACTTGCTTGCCGGGTTGATTTAGTTAAAATTTTGTCCGTGCAATTTTTAATATTCATGTTTCCGCGTCATCCCTTTTTGCTTTGACAAAGAATGTAGGATTAGTTTGGGTATAGGTCCAGTCCAGTTAATTACTGGCTTAATTTTTTTTCTCTGTTTCAGTGATTTTATAAGGTGGCAATGCTCAAAATCTGCATCTTTTTTACTTTCTATTGGTCTTTTAATTAGCCAATCAAAGGACAACATACCTTATCTTCAAAGTCTAAATTGTAGTACCTAAATTAGCGCTAATTGGTGCAAATAGCGATAATTGAACAAAGGAAAGTAACATCGCACACTCTAGCTCGTTACTAACTCCCTCACACTGATTCATTTGAAAAGCGTTTCTGAATTGAACCATTCTTGAATTAATTCAAGCTTGGGGACGAAAAACAACACACATACCAAAACGACAAATAATCACACTAATTATCAAACACCGTTTTGCACATCAAACGACATCATACATGCTCAAAGCTCCATCAAAAACATTAAGTATCATCAAAAAGGGTGACCCCAAGGTTATAATTGTGGTCACTGAAATAGGCCTTTTGTATGAAACAGTTACATGATACTAAATCCGTCTTCGATAGCAAAGTACACCGATCCCTTCTTCACATAGATTAATCAACAAACAATTATCCCAGCAGTTTTCCCAGTGGAATTGAAACTGTCCGAGCAACAAACACAAAATCGTATATCTTTACTAAATTCATTAGCTTTTCCTGATGAAAATGTAATAAAAATATTAAAGGCAAGTTCCTACATATTGCAGCAATCGGTATCTTTTCCATGCTCTATATCAAGGGAATATTTTCGTTTGTCCGACATAGCAACAATAACTAAGAAGGAAGGACAATGAATCGGGATCGGTCAATTGTTGTTGAGGTTGTTTGTATTCTTTAGCCATCCAGATGATGGCGGATCGATTTAGTACCATGTGACCGTTTCATGTAAAATGCTTATTGGATGTTGCTGTTCGATGATCGATTCCCGGCTCTACGTTACCATTTGCAGCAAAGAAATGTAATTCAGTAGTAGGACTTTAACGTAAATTATCTTTGATTTTATTACAGCTGTAGGTCATAGTGTTGTTCAGCACAAAGCACCTAAGATGGCTTTCACGACAACAGCGCAGCCCTTTGCGCGTTTTTTCCTCTTTCTCATAAYTGCAATGGTGAGCTGCCTTTTTTTTATTCTCAGGCGTGCAACTGAGAGCCTTTGAAATCGTTTCCTAATGTTTCTCTTACATATTCATTAATTTTGTTGTTGTTTTTAGATTATATCWGTTCAAGTTGAATGTAAGTAACATATTGTTATCAGTTTTAGAACAAAWCTTTGTTTTTCTCAGCTGATATWYCGWTGAATAGGCAATTTGCAGCGACGCCATTTTGTGCAGCAAAGGATGATGGTAGTTTTAGTCCTCGTACTTTTATATGTCAGATATAATAGTCCTTCTTAGAAGTTTTTGCTTTTTCTAAACAAAAAATAGAAGTATTTGTGCCGTTTCTAAAATGAAAATGTAAAAGCGGCTTTTAATGAGATCTTTAAGGGRMATGAAAAGTGCGAGGACTTTAACTACCATCATGCTTKGCTTCACAAAATGGAGGCATTGTACAAGGTAAACATGTGCATTCTACTCCCAAATGACCTTTGGAYTRCAACTTACTATTTCACATTTCTKACAGGTGATGTTTGCCCAAAATTCAAGCGTTATGGKTGCTTCAAAGCCAAGTTTAGCTCRAGCAATTTYCTCCCWAAGCTGWTGTTCACTGATCGCGACCAAAGATCAAAATATTTTAGTGGTATAAAGATGGACTGGAAAAACTGGAACAACTATATTTCCGACCTCGCATGTAGATGCGCTATGCGCGCAAAACAATCTAATTATACCTACTTTGGTATCCAATACTATGGTGAGTTGCCTGTATCCTGTATTCATCTATAGATATATTAATTTTTAAAGATCTTATCGTCGCGACGTGGAACTGTCCTTTTTTTATGAGTCGGAAAACTGGATTTTTCATTGTTTGCAGATGTTGGTATTTAAAGGTCTAATTGTATCCAAGAGCCTCTGCGCGATTTTCTCAGATAGTACGGAATTTTGTCATCTTTCAAAAGATCACAAAGGTTCCGTGATACACGCGCTTTTTTGTTTATTTGTTTGTTTTTAGATGTAAGATGTAAGCTTTGATRTAAGCAAATTGAAAATGCATGCAAATGAAGTGACGTCAACTGGGGAATAAAACTGAACTAATCGCAAAGATTTGAATATAAGGACCACATGGCACTATGTGATACATAATATAGAAATAAAGGAAAGTTATAGAGCTCAGCAGGAGTTTATTCCAGGAAAAAGACCCTTGGAAATCAATTTGCAAATTAATATTTCTCCCGAAATAAGCTCCTTCTATTAAAGCACTACAACTTTTCTTTATTTCTAAATCATGCCCCTACTAGAGGAAATACTTTGAATTTGTATTTTTAGTTTTATCCTAATTTTCGTTTCTTAGCGGAGTGCTGGAGTGGGAATGTCCCTGCAGTCAAGGTCAACGTCATCGATAATCTGGAAAGTGGTAAAATGCATCCTTTTATAGTCAATATAATGGGTATTTTATCAAAGAAATGCATTGGAAAAGACCACAAACCATGTTCTGACAGTGATACGTACTGCGTTGGATCACAACACATGTACTTCACATACCAGCTAGGTACGACTGAAAGATTTAATATCAATGAATTACAGCTCAACAACAATGAATTAAGACTTTTGTTTTCCATGTCTTAAGTGTGGTAGGATGAATGATAATCCGAGGGTCGAGAGCATAATACTGTACATTGCCAAATTCAACTTTTGAATTGTGTACAGAAGATCCTTGTATTATCACTCATCCTACTATATTAAAACTTGTCGGATGGTTCTGGTTTTGATTTCAACTTTTATGATCCACACGGCTTCGCCTTCCCGTTTTATACTTCGTATTATATTCATGGTGTGCAACCACATGACCAGGGATCCCCTGAGAAATAAACAAAGCTATCACCGCCATGTTGGATGAATGAACAAGAGAAGCTAATGAGGAATGCTTTGTGATTAGTCATCCAACATGGCGGTGATGACGTAACTTGCACACCAAGAATAAGGCCATCGTATGCAGTCCATCGTATGCAGTCCTTTGGGATCTCTCTCTCTTCTACTATAATTTCCGCCTAGTTTTTCAACGTCATTTTCAAGAGCTTTTTTGCACTTCCCATTCATCTTCTCGCTCAAGACATGTCAATACGATCATGCCATCCCTTTTCCTGTCATTTTTTTTATTTATTTTTTATTTTTKTTATTCTTCTCTTATATTTTTGTGATGTTCAATGTATTATCTATCTCTTTTTCACCGTCATTTTCAAGAGCTATATTGGACTCCCCATTCCTGTTCTCGCTCAAGGGTCTTGTCAATACGATCATGTCATCGCTTTCCCTGTCATTTCTTTGATTTTCTTAGTTCCTTGAATTCTTCTTTTATATTTTTGTGATGTTCAAAGTATTATCTGTCCGAGAGTGAATGGTCTGAACCCGGTGCAAACGATGCGGTGTAAACTGACCTTCCAGCTGCGTGATGTCCTGAGGAACACTGTTATGGTTACCTGACGTTTCGTCGTCCTATGTGGAAGTCATCTTCATAATCTTTTTGYTGTTTCCCATTTTTCGTTTTTAGAGGGCACTTAAAAGTCATATAAGGATAATCTTAAACTATGCTCAATGAATAACTCATTTAGAAAATGTAATTATAGATCCCTGTGGAAAGAAACCGTGTCAAAATGGTGGAAAGTGTACCTTCGGAGAAAGCACTTACTCGTGTGATTGTAAACCTGGTTACAAGGGAAAGAACTGTGAATCAGGTAGGTTTGCCTGTSAATAGTTTTCTCATATTTCTATTTCTAAAAACGAAGAACTTGTACACGATGAAACGGGAGACAATGCGTAGTCTGTTTCATCCGTCTCAAAAATTATAATAAATCTAAGTTTTGTTTGATCCCATAGAACTTTAAGTAATTACAAATTCAGCGTCCTAAATTCTAATTCCTAACTTCATCTGTACAGACATTTTATTTTAATCTAACTTTTTCTTTACTTTTTAAACTTTGGTCACTTCCCAGAAATAGACGAATGTGCTTCAAAACCATGTCAAAATGGCGGTGAATGCAAAGATGAAATCGGCTCGTATTCCTGTGCTTGTAAAGCTGACTTCAGTGGAAAGAATTGTGAAAACAGTGAGTAACATTTGAATCTCACTAAACTAGATTTTGGTTATTTCATGTTAAGAGCCTGCGTGCAAAACTTTCTTGCAGTTATAAATAGCTGTGACAGCAAGCCATGCCAAAATGGCGGTGTTTGTAAAGATGGAGTCGGCTCGTACTCCTGTGAATGCAAAGAAGGATTTAATGGCAATGATTGTGAAAATGGTAAGTAACATTTCACCACATATCTTGATATTAATGTCCAAAAGAACATGGTCAACCAGCATTCCTTAAGTAATTTTATCTATGCTCGAAAATTAGAATATTCACTGTCGTAATATAAGCAAAATCATACTCTTTATTATCCCTCTATACTATATGAATGGAGATACTGTAAGATTCGACCTTTAAACCGATGGATGGAAACAGATTACGAATGGATATTTGAAGTTACCTAATTTTCAATATATGAACGATCTAAAACAAGACCGCATTGAATGCCGGCTTACTATGGCTCTTTAAGGTAATACATAACTGGTTAACTGGTTTAAGACTGAAGTAAAAAAACTGCAACGTAAATAACGATAAATTATGTTTTTTTTTTGTTTTTTGTTTTGCTTAAGTTAATATCCAACATAAATGATATATCACAAAATTTGATATAATGATAGTTATTATATTGCTTGCAGATGTGGACGACTGTGCCCTCAACCCCTGCCAAAATGGCGGTAAATGTATCGATGGAGTCAATTCTTACACATGTAAATGCGCTGATGGTTACAATGGACCAAACTGCGAAACAAGTGAGAAAAGTTAATATTTCCTTCCTATAAATGTAAAATATTTATTAACTTAATGTAATGATAATTATTTCTTGTAGATATTGACGACTGAGATGTGGACGACTGTGCCCTCAACCCCTGCCAAAATGGCGGTAAATGTATCGATGGAGTCAATTCTTACACATGTAAATGCGCTGATGGTTACAATGGACCAAACTGCGAAACAAGTGAGAAAAGTTAATATTTCCTTCCTATAAATGTAAAATATTTATTAACTTAATGTAATGATAATTATTTCTTGTAGATATTGACGACTGCTCACCAAATCCGTGCAAAAATGGCGGTCAGTGTATCGATGGAGTCAATTCTTACGAATGCAAATGCAAACCTGGTTTCCAAGGACCAAACTGTAAAACCAGTAAGAGCAACTCTTTAGTTTATAGATATATTCTCGCGATATTTCTGTATACAAAAGAATTGTATTTCTTGTAGATATTGATGACTGTTCACCAAATCCGTGCAATATTGGCTCCAAATGTATCGATGGAGTCGATTCTTACTCATGTGAATGTGCTGTTGGCTACATTGGGAATCATTGTGAAACGAGTGAGTAAAGTTAATATGCAACATATATGTTACAAATGACTGTCTTACAGGGACTGCGCAATATTTATCAGGAGGGAGGGAGAATCCAAAGGGGGACGCAACACCTAATATTATGTACTTAAAGAGGGGGACAATGTCTAAAATTAACTAGAATATTAATTAGAAACTGCAAATTAAGGGTGTCAAATCAGATTCGAAAACTTCTAAAGAAAAGCGTGCTACGATTTGCGACAACTCTTCATTTCTCAACCCCCCTGTCCCTTAACAATAAAATTATTGCTTGCAGATATTGACGACTGTGCCCCTAACCCTTGTAAAAACGGCGGTAAATGTATCGATGGAGTCAATGCTTATAAATGCGTGTGTGCTACTGGTTTTAATGGAAAGAACTGCGAAAACAGTGAGTACATAATGTTTTATCTAAAAGCTATGTTTCCTTACTTACATACATTAATAATTTCAGATGTCGACGAATGTGCCAATAAGCCTTGTCAAAATGGCGGTATATGTTTCGACGGAATCAACTCTTATAATTGCATATGCGTTCCTGGTTATGGCGGGAAGCACTGTGAGACTAGTACGTCAGGTTTAGTTTGACCTTAAATTAAAACTCATTACTAAACTGCGAAACCAGTGAGTTGACTTAAGATTAAGTAATGCCCCAAGTAGGAACTAGGGAAGTAAGAAATGCAAGAAGGTGCTAATTGTGCATTGTATAATCCATCCATCCCATTGGTTAAAACATGAAAATCTGCTATAATATCACAAGGTAGCGACTTTTCTAATATTTTATTTAATGTCCGCTTTCGCTTTCATAAAGCTTTCTTTACCTTCAATATTAAGGCAATTCTACGTGGGGAACATAGCAAATTAGAAGCATCTTTTGGCTATTGTTTTGAGTGCTTATGATTGGATAAGAGCTTTTAATACAAAAGATACTTTGTTTCAAAATAGGGTTTATCCACATTTTATTTCAAAAATGTCTTAATACATAATCAGTGTGAAAACCAAGACATTCGTACATGGGGAACTTGCAATGCCGCAGAACAATAGAGAGTTCCCTAGTTCTTAAGCGCATTGTTACTTAACTACATTTATCGCAGCTATAGGGTCAAGCTAACAACATTTCTTACAGATGTAGACGAATGTGCCAATAAGCCTTGTCAAAATGGCGGCCAATGCATCGATGGAGTCAATTCTTACACATGCAAATGTGTTCTTGGTTACACTGGACCAAACTGCGAAACCAGTGAGTGGAGTTTAGATTAACTACATTTATCGCAGCTATCTGGTCGAACTAACAACATTTTTTACAGATGTAGACGATTGTGCGAAGAAGCCTTGTTTCAATGGTGGAAAGTGTATCGATGGAGTCAACTCGTATACATGTAGCTGCACAGCGAAGTACACTGGAAAAAATTGTATAAAAAGTGAGTAGTTGTATTAAACGATATCCAGGGCTGGTTGGACGAAGGGTGAATAGCTCAATTTGAACATGATAAATCCATATTCGACCAATAAAATGACGCTTTACAACTGATAAATACATATTAGACTAACAAAATGACGCTTCACAACCGATAAATCCATATTCGACTAATAAAATCACGCTTTACAAACTGACAACTCCATTCATATTCGACTAATAAAATGACGCTTTACAACTGATAAATCCATATTCGACTAATAAAATGACGCTTTACAACTGATAAATCCATATTAGACTAACAAAATGACGCTTTACAACTGATAAATCCATATTAGACTAACAAAATGATGCTTTATAGCTGATAAATCCATACTCAACTAAT